CTTTACAAAGTGAAAATGTACTTTAAAAGTGAACATGCTCTACTTATTTAGTAAATTAAGGTCAATATGTGCAAGCTATGCAACCAATCTGAGCAAGAGGTGGGGATGGAAGGATAGGATGTGGTAGTGGGGATAGGAAGGTCTGATAGGAGAAGGCCAAAAAAAAAAAGACAGTGGGAAGGGTAGGGTAAGGGAAATAGGAAAGATGTGTGTCCACAGAGTTTCTGTAAAAATCTTAAGAATTTTATAGGTGCTGGTATTCCTCCTTCATGAGGAAGTCATACAAGTAAAACTGTGGGTTGTGAAATTACTCACTTGTGCCCTTAAGAGAGCTGGTAAGGGCTTCCATAGTTTTAATGTTGTTTACTCTGTTGAGCCAGTGGCTCAGCTTGCTTCCCTAGAACAGGGTTACAAGCTAGGGCCACATTAACCAGATTAATTATGTAGAATATTTGGTCATTTTTAAGATGAAAAAGTTGGGATGTAGAAGAAAAATGTATGAGATCTGGGGATCAGGAAGTCAGTAAATTGTTGAGTGGTAGGGTGGACATACACACCAATTTCTTAAGTCATTTTTATCAAGAGAATGGGTTTAAATAAATTGTAAAGGTACCAAACATTGCAATGACTGTCATCAAAGTATGACCAATTTACCTTGACTTTCCCCTCCAGTTGTTATTCTCTCAGAAAATCGTATTGTGAAATAACCACAACAAAGTGTATGTACATGCATATACAGATTTGACCTTGCATATGTATTCAAAATCTGATAAAGAACCGACCGTCCGTGAGCAAACACCAGTTAGATTGGGTGCCCCAGCCTTTACATGTATGGCCTGCCTTAATCTACTGCTTAATCTAAACAATTGAAAGTATTTAACAAATACTCTTCCCTCTTCATGGAGACAGTAAAAGGTCTTGAAACATTTAATTAAAAATAAATACTTTATCTTTTTTTTCTAATACTGGCCATTAATATGACATTTTGAATGTTTGAATAATGGCCAATTTATCACATAAGATACCTCTGTATGTCTCTACTTTTTTCTGACAAATATTTCTTTAAAAAAAATCAAAATGTTGTCTACATTGTTTACCCTTATATGGCTGAGTAGTAAAAGATTGCTTCAGTAGCTCAATTAATTACCCTTACATGGATGACTTCATTGGCTTTGGGCTCTTTTTTTATTCCAGCTAATTTGAGAGGTTTCTCATTTAATTTTTTTTAATAATCTGTTAGTCATACATGCAAAGAGTATTTTAAAAAGATTCCACCATATACCGTTAAGTTGTATATACAATGTCACAGTTGTCATTGTGACCCAGATATTCCACAAGGTAGAAATTTCAATGTAATTTCCTATTTTTCAATATTTATGTTGCAGACATAAACTGGTCTTTTTACTCACTACACATAGGCGATTTACCAGAGTAAGATATGTACAATACAGTTATTAAAAAAGAACTTTCATTAATATAATTGCATTCCAAAGAATGACCAATAAAGACCAGCACAAAAGCCCACATTTGTGTATAAAACAACTTTTGCAAGGCTAAATAAAGTAGTGTATCTATGTAAGATATACAGAGCTTCGGTTTTTCATTATAACAGAACCAGATATGGCTGGGGAAATTGAATGAACTCAATAGTCACAGAGGAACTGGACTTTTTGTAAATGCCAGAACTGACAATTTTCCAATCCATAAAGTAATGATTGCCAAGTAAATTAACAAAAATTGTACACAAGGTGAAAAATAATAAAATTGTTCTTTCTTGATTTGTCCTAGAACCATCAGTCAGAATATACTACAGAAAACTATATTTCAAAACTGTTTAGAAAATGTAATACCCACTTCTGCATGTAAATGTGATTTTGAATCAGTCAGGCATATTGTGCTACATTATAGTCATGCATTTTTTCAGATAAGATGACAGAATTCTATAGTAAATGTGCACCATGTTGTGACATCTTGAAAAATACAATATATCAGAACAGTCAAAAGGCGTCCATGTGGTAATCTGCATCCTGGTCTACAAAAACATGCAGAACAGGGAGTCACTTTAATTTCATGCAAGAATGATTATCTGTGTCTCACCTTGTATTCTATAATAACATAAACAATTAAGTGTATCATAGCTCAACTATATGATGTTATTATGAAACAGACCATGCCTAATAGACCTTGAAAAAAATGCTAGAGTCATCACACATGCAAAAGACCTGATTTATTTAATTAACTATTTGAAAACCATTACTGCTTAATGTTTTTACCATTAATGTATGAGCCAATTTGAGTGTTTAAGATATGAGTAGACCCAATCAAACCAAATCTGAAGCTTTTACTAAAATAATTTCTGGTGAGCCTGTCAATATGCTTCTTATGAGGACTACAAGTTGCCATTTCAACATTACACAGGCATGTTCCATCAGCCAACTCTCCCTAACCAAGGCCATGCAGCATCTGCTGGAGTGCATGCATATAGACAGGAAGCAGCTGCACAGAAAAAATGGAAATTGTGTATAATACACATTGCTTTTGCAAACTAATTTACCAAAAAAATGCCAATCATTTAGGGTTTACTTTAAATGTGATTATATCACTATTATTTATTAGGCTAGTAAATGTAAATATCAAGTTGGTTTACAGTGAATTTGTCACAAATTTCAGAAATTTAGACCGGATATGAAAAAATATATGTTTGGGAGAAATTGTGTGTAAAACAATTAGTAGCTTGAGCAATAAAAGCAATTGAAGTTATTAAAAGAACTCCGCTTTTCCTCCAATAGGCATACTTTGCCCCATCTTGTTCCACATGCTGAGCCTCTCTATTGGTCAGTGAGGCTGCCCCTTACATTAAAATATAGCAAAACTCAGAAGGCAGCAAAGGGACTATAGACATTTAATTGCAAAGCTGAGACTTGCATAGCACTTACAATGTACAGTATATCTGGGTAAATTAAAATAACTCCAGTATAATATGCAGCTTCTTCTTTATTGTAGTAAATTGGGCATTCCAGAAGCACATCAAGAGAACCTTTCTTATGCATTTCACGCAAACATGTGCTTCATCATAGACTTTTGTTGAATACAGAAAAATACCTATTGATCTGCCAAAAATATATATAAGTACTGTATATACTCGAGTATAAGCCGAGTTTTTCAGGAAATTTTTTGTGCTGAAAAATTCCCCCCTCGGCTTATCCTCGAGTCAGCGTCTCGAGAACTGAGGAAAAGTGAGTACGCTGGTCAGGTTTCTTCTTACTTACCTCGCCGAGCGTCGTGTTACTGCTGCTCCGGTGGGCGGCGCTCCGAGCGGGGTCATCTGGCAGTCTCCGGGTCCGGAGACTGACAGATGACCCTGCTCGGAGCGCCACCCACCGGAGCAGCAGTAACACGACGCTCGGCGAGGTAAGTAAGAAGAAACCTGACCAGCGTACTCACTTTTCCTCAGTTCTCGAGACGCTGACTCGAGGATAAGCCGAGGGGGGAATTTTTCAGCACAAAAAATTTCCTGAAAAACTCGGCTTATACTCGAGTCAATATTTTTTCCCAGTTCTTTGTGGTAAAATTAGGTACCTCGGCTTATATTCGGGTCGGCTTATACTCGAGTCAATATTTTTTCCCAGTTCTTTGTGGTAAAATTAGGTACCTCGGCTTATATTCGGGTCGGCTTATACTCGAGTCAATATTTTTTCCCAGTTCTTTGTGGTAAAATTAGGTACCTCGGCTTATATTCGGGTCGGCTTATACTCGAGTCAATATTTTTTCCCAGTTCTTTGTGGTAAAATTAGGTACCTCGGCTTATATTCGGGTCGGCTTATACTCGAGTCAATATTTTTTCCCAGTTCTTTGTGGTAAAATTAGGTACCTCGGCTTATATTCGGGTCGGCTTATACTCGAGTCAATATTTTTTCCCAGTTCTTTGTGGTAAAATTAGGTACCTCGGCTTATATTCGGGTCGGCTTATACTCGAGTCAATATTTTTTCCCAGTTCTTTGTGGTAAAATTAGGTACCTCGGCTTATATTCGGGTCGGCTTATACTCGAGTCAATATTTTTTCCCAGTTCTTTGTGGTAAAATTAGGTACCTCGGCTTATATTCGGGTCGGCTTATACTCGAGTATATACGGTATATATAAAAATATAAGTATTTCTCCTAACTTCTTGTTTGATCTGACAACACTGCCTCTGCTGTACTGAAGTTCCAAACAGTGCTGTCAGCTCTGGCCATCTTACTTTTACAGGACTACAGAACACATCCCCCCGGTAGGTATTCTGTAGTCCAGTAGGAGTGAACTGGATTTCTGGCAGGATCAGCAGGTATTTGTCTATACTTGCAGAATTTTTAAAAAGAGAAAACTCATGGGGCAGTGTACTGAATATGTTCATTTTAATTTTTCCCAAACAAGCACTTTGAGCTGCCAGTGTCCATGGATCTCTTGATCATTTTGACATGTTTTCCAAAAAAGTAACTTCCATTTATTGTTTTTTTTTTCATCATACCCTCAGCTTTAGTGGGCCCAGCTTGTGACAGGTTTGCAAAAAATCAAAGAACTTTTTATAACAATAATAATTTGCAAATAAATATGAATAAGATAAGTGAGCTTTAGGCCATATAAACATAAGCTTCAAAATGAAGTGTCCCTTTTATATTGGCAGACAGACTGCACTATAATGAACAGGGGCTGCAACATCTGTCAGCAGTGACAGTACAGCCTTTGTATTCACTGAGGACTCTCCTGCTGCGAAGGTAAAGCCTGGAGCTGTAAAAGTCAATTAAAGCCCTAACAGATCTCTGACTCTCTTCTCTAGCATAAACTAGCTCACTAGTTAAACAATGTCAACTGCCTCCTGTACAAGTATGTTAGTTTTACATGTATCGATGTTAGTAGACCTTATACACAAAGTAATTTGTATTGTACCTTTAATGGTCCCTTTATTCGGCCTCTATGATTATTTCTGGTATCTCTAAAAATGCATAATTGTTCATTTTTCTAGGTACAAGTTCAAGGAATGACTGGAAATGTCCAGTTTGATACATATGGAAGAAGAACCAACTACACAATCGATGTATATGAGATGACAGCTACTAAACCTCGCAAAGTATGTTTAACAGATTTTTTTTTCAAACTAGTGATGTGTTTTGATGTGCTCAAGAACAACTCAACAGAAATTGATTTATTTAATTTTAAAATGAGCAGAACAGAGCTTGATCTCCCTATACTTTTCCTCTACTGTTTAAGACACCAGTAGAGAGACTTCCCTCCAAGCCTGACCCTGAAAGGTAAAGCTAAGCATGTGTTATTTTTTTTTATTATTTATGTGCTTAGTGAATGAAGTGAAGCCATGCTCATTTCAATTATCTAATCATGTGCAAGGTAGAATCCTTTTTTTATTCCACTGCAAATGATTGGGCATTCAAAGCGAACACAACTTCACTGTATTCACTAAGCTAGCACAGCATTCTCTTCGCTAAGTGGACATTTTTTACTTCTTCAATACCTGTATTATGTAGTGAGCGAGATTTTGAGACTGCCATAGTTGACCTCCTGCTTAAATTGCCCGGCTGTGTCCAGCTTCAGTACTTTGAGTCGCTGACCCTGGATGAGCATGCAGCAAGGGAAATCAGAAATTCTGAAATCCATATTTGTTACAGGTCATTGCTCCAGAAGAACTAAATGCACTAGATCAGCATAACAGCCAGATAGCTTGCATTTTCAAGATGATAAGTCAGTAATGGCAACCTATATACAGTATTGTCTTATACAAATTTACTTCTACATGTTTGCATTGCCAAATGCATCTTTCCTAACGAGATAGTTATCTTCACAGCTCCGTGAAATTATATGTCTATCATTACAGCTATAGCGATAAGCAAATTTGGTCATTTAAAAATGGACTGATTTAAATTAACTTGCCTACAAACGTCATTATAATTTCATTTTTTCAGAGGAAGTATGAATTAATTATTTACAGAGCTGCAAATACATGAATATCCTCTGAAATTACAAATATGAACATACAGTGCTGTAATGTTTTATTGTGTCTGTATAGATAGGGCACAGTGCAGAAGATGAAAGTATTTATATGCAAATATGGTTGCAGCAGCACCTGGTTAACCCAAACCTGAAACGTTTGATTTATTTAAAAAATGAAAAAGTTACAATTACCATTTCTGCAAAATGTGAACTTAGAGCTGGCAATGTATAATTCAAAATAAAATCCCAGTTGTGCAGAGAAAAAAATCTCTACCAGGTCAGCCATATACATTAACAGGATTTTAGCTTAGTTTTTGTTTGTTGTTCAACCAACATAAGCTTTGCAGCGTATAAGTGCTATCTGGACTATTAAAAACAATCACCTCTTTCACACAGTACTGTCTTCTCCAGCATTTCCACCAGAATATGTGTCCATACCACTAGTTTTACCATACCATTCTTTTTGTGGTATCTAGCAGGGATATCTGACCCTAGAAAAAGTATATCCACATACAAGGCAATGTTGCAACCATAAGCCCTGTATTGAGTATGTGTACATCCAGTGAAATTTGCCTCACACATTAGGAAACACTGTACTAACTCACTATGGGGTCTATTCACGAAGCTGCCGAAGGATCTAGCCGTAGCTTTGGCCGATCCTTCGGCTAGCTTCGGCCCCAGGACCCCTTCGGTTCAGTCGAACCGAAGGGGTGCTGTACGGGCTATTCACAATAGCCCGTACGGCTCCCGAACGTGGCCTAGAGGCTCATTCGAGCCGAACGCATATACATCGGCTCGGCTGAGCCACGGTGAAAGCCGAAGCTGGCCGAGCGGCCAGCCATCGGCCGGCCGACAGCCTGCTTCTGACAGCTGGGCTGGAGCCAGCCGTGATCTTACAATTGGTTTCTTTGACAGTGAGTAATATATATGGTGTCCATTTTTTTTATAAAATAAATGTATCACAAGGTGGCACTGAGTGAAGCAGGTGTATAGGTGTATAGGACATGGATTCTTAATATCCCCTACTCTATCCAAAGCCCAGAGAGTTTTTGGTTAGACAAACTTTAACTATCATCACAATGCTTTCCATTCTGCTTTCTCAGTCGATTTTATACAATTGATTTACCACATTTCAGCATTTGAATTTTAGAATGATGCTGAATAGAACTTCATACTTAACCTCATAAAACAAAGTAATTATGTTACCTTTATTTTCTGTCAGTGCGTTCCAAAATGTACAATTACCAAATTTAGATTACGCAAATTGAATATTTTGCAGGTTGGTCATTGGAATGAATATGAACGTTTTGTTCCTGCTCCTGACCAGCAGCCCGCAAATGACACTTCTTCTGTGGAAAACAAGACCATTGTAGTTACAACAATTTTGGTAAGTCAGATTTTCTTTGGTTCATTAGAGCAATACATATAGTGTATTAATATAATGTAATAATATAGTGTGAACTATACACACCAACACTTCCTAGTTGCCTCACTGCTGCAGCATTACATCCTGAGTAAGCTCCAGTGTTGCATGGTATCAGAGCTTACCTGAGTGGATAATGTTACTCCTTTCCTCCTCATGTGACAGGCAAAGCCTGAATAAGGCAGAAGAGGCATCCCTTCAGCTAGGATCCTGCTCTGCATTCTTTTAGAAATGAAAGTTAATATGTTATCTTTTATGTATTATTTTATAATATGTGTAGAAAAAACTGTGTAGCGCGTTCGTCGTTTTCATGCGTAGGCGCACCCGACGCGTGTTTACGTGGCGACGCGCGTGCTCGCGGGGGCGGGGTACTTTAAAAAAAAATTTTTTATTATTATATTTTAGCACCTTATTAACATATGTCAATCCTAATTCGTTTTTTTAACTCATTCATTACCTTAGTATTTTTTATTTTGATGATTTATTTTTTAAATCACTTGTAGGTAAATTTTTTGAATTTGCGTTCTTTTGTGCTTGTAGCACCAAGTTAATAAATAATGTTTTATTATATTTTATGCATTGTCATGTATTGAGTTGAATTGCAATAAACAGCCCATTCAAAATGTATGGGCTGAAACTTATAGCAATACATACAAAAATGGGGTAGACTGCATTTTATCACAGCTCACCACTCAGGGCACAATGTGTGTTGCTGCACTGCTCCCCCCCAGGAGATGTGTCTTTGACAGCCTGGGCTCTCAGCAAGTGGAATAGATGGTGCTGGCCATCATTCAACCCAGAAGAGGGGTGGAGGTCAAGGCTGCAAGTGATGAGTCTGCAGGGTCAGCACCAGAGAGGAGGTGAGTATTGCAGCAAAAACTGTTTACTTATTTTCAAACAAGCTGGCAAGATATTTAAGAAAAAAAGGAAAAAAGAGTTATGCTTTAAATATTGCTGCATTGATTTAACTGATCGTAAATGAAAAATAGTGCAGTTGTACATAGCAAGCAACACTTTAACTTTTCTTTGCTCTGGCATTTGTTAAACCGTTTTATGATAGGAAAATAGCAGCAAAAGATGTAACATAAATGAAAAGTGAAAAACTTACATTATTCACTGTTATATGTCACATAAATGATTATATATTTCTACTCATTAAATAAAATAAAGCATGAAATTGACAGAGAACAAAGAGCAGGAAATATCAAGTGATACCATTAAATATAAGCGCAAAGTTCAACAGAGTGTCAGACAATTTATGGAAGCATCACCTCAAGATTACAGAATCATGTATTTTATGTGGATAAATAACATGAATTATCTAAAATGCCCCCAAAAGGGCAATAAAATCTCCAACTGCTGAGAACTAAGAAATCTGATTTGGTGATGGGATTTGCTTTCTATTATTCTGCTTTCATATATTTCCTCTTTATTGCTTTATTAATAGAAACTGTTGTACCCTTAATGAACATTGCTTATTTATAGGACCATTATCATTTTTTAAAAGGTAATATTAATTAAAGGTGGCAAAAAAATATTTTCAGTGATATTGGATAAAATGAATTGTTGCATCAGTAGCAGAGTGTACTGATAGAGTGTACTAGCTATGGTACAAACATTTTGCTTGTTTTCATTTAAGAGCTTTCACCACTTTAATATTAAAAAATACTAGAAATAACAAACCTGGATATGTTTGTAGTTGTTAGACATAATGTTTTATTTTTATAACAATTACATTTGCGTATGTGTTACAAAATATGTAATAAAAAATCTAAGAGCCCATTATCTTGCGTATAATGCGCGCATGCTGGTGTGTGTTGTGCAAGCCCCCTTTGAAGCATTGTTACGCACGTTTTTTGTGCACATTTTTACGAGCAGATTGTGGCATATTTATGGGCAAAACGCGCTGAATCTGCTGAAAAATAATTGCAATGCACGCTTTTCAAGATTTTTCTATTGAGTCAATGGGGAGACAACGTACCGAATCTGCCCCGAAGGAGCTCATGTAGTATTTCGTGCGGCAGGCATATTTTTGCTTGCAACAAAACGACCCAGGTGTGAACAGGGGCCATAGAACTGAATGGGATTACTGGGGTTGAGCGTTTTGTCGTGCTGATTGACATGCGAGAATACGCTTAGGTGTGAATGGAGCCTTAGGACATGTGACACCATCAGTTCTAATGCACTTCATTCCACCGCCAGAGTGGATGTGGAGACAAGTGAGCAGTTACTGCTACAGGACCGAGGATTGTTTTGGTCTAGGATCTTTATTTTAGGCACTATACCAATATGAGCAGTTAACCCTTTTAGTGTGTGGGTAGCCACACTACAAGGGTTAATTTTTCGATTGCCAGGAGTTCTTCTTGAAATTGCACTTAATTGAACTCTATGCAGCATGTTGCAACGCGTTGAAGTTGCATTGTAGCAAACTGTATTGCTATGCAATGTATGCCTGCATTATTTTATTGCGGCGCAGGTTGAAGCATGAACATTGGTCTGAACAGGTCCTATACAAAGCAATACTTTCTGGTGTGAATGAGCCATAGGAATGCCTCAATAGAAATCCCTGTTTGCATAGATTTTTTTTTGTAGAGTAAAGGTAATTCCTCAAGAAGAGTAAAGATAACTAGTGATTCTGGATATACATGTAGGAGCAGTGGTTAGGTGCCAGGTGGTCAGTTACAGGCAGCCGAACATGCTCTGTACATCTGGATCGGCTGAGCCAAAGCTCCGGCAGCTCACTCACTGCCTTTCGCCCCATTCACATAGGGGCAGAACAGCAGTGAGTGAATAGCCGAATGCCGCCGAGCGGCGCTCGGTTATTCTGCTCAGTACCTCCGTGGTACCGAGCAGAATAGAAAATCAATGAAAATAGTCGGGGGGGAAAAGGTAGCATAAATTGAAACAATTTAAATAAATAGTAAAATTTATAAATAAAGATTTTTCTAGAAAAAATACATCATAAAATAAATTGGGCGGAGCTAGCAGTGACAGCTAGCTCCGCCCAACTGTTTCCTATTGGCCGGCACCTGCTAGAGTCTTCTAGCAGATACGGGCCAATGAATAACAATTGGGCTGAGCCGGCTGCGACATCACGGACAGCTCCACCCAGTTGTTATTGTTTAATGACAGTTCAGCATCCCCTGGTCATTTGGGCTCCACCCAGCTGTCATTTGTGGGGCGAAAGACCGGCCCTTGGCAGGCCGTTCGCCCCGCTTCAGCTGTCAATTCAGCTCAGTCAAGCCGAACCACATCAGCCCCTCGGCTGCTGTACGGACTATAGTGAATAGCCCATTTAGCAGCCCTTCAGTTCAAAGGGCTCCAGCGGCCGAAGAGAGTCGAAGGATCAGCTGAAGCTAAGGCTGGATCCTTAGGCTCCTTCGTGAATAACCCCCTTAATGTCCATAAAATAAGATTGAAAAAAACAGCAATGTGGTTCATGAAAATGTGCACACATGTATACATCATCACTGCACCTCTACATTACCACAATACATGCTAATCACTTACAAAGGTGGAAATGGACTTTAAGCCAAATCATTAATTACAACCTCTAAAACCTATATTTTCTGAAAGCAGAGAACCTGCAGAATAAAAAGATTTTATGTTGCACAATATTTGAGCAACTGTTTCTCATACCTATATTTTGTGCAAAAATAAGAACTTTAGTGCACACAAACACAATATATAATACCCATTTTTTGTTAAAATTTAAAAGGCAAGACTGGGTAGAGAAAATAGATACCAAATATGTCAAGTCTTAAAATTGCATGCACAGCATTTCTGGTTTCACTCTATAGAGGAGGGTAGAATACTGTAGATTAGATACAACAGTTTTTTTCCAATTCTCCCCAGCCAGCTATCCTAAGTAATATGCACCAGTCCCAACAGCTGCAAGAGATGTCCAGGACCGTGTGGGGGAGGGGCAAATGTAGGAGGACTAACATTGTCAACCTATAAATTGGTCAGGTGGCTTTACAGTCTCCCAGATCATACATACATTACAACTAAGAGCCAGCGGTACAATTTTAAAATAAGCACATGAATGCTATTGCAGCTATGAGCTTGTTTTAACCCTTATAATGCCATGACATGTGAGGCATGTCATTGGCAGTGAAAGGGTTAATGAAGACAACAATATGGTATTTACTCACTGGCTTTTAACTTAAATGCTGCTTTGAACTAGATGTGTAAACAGGAAAAGTCTGCTATAACCTTATTGGGTCTCTTTACAAAGGCACTTAAAGTTTAGGTTCATATATTGTCTGGGTGTTACCATGGCCTCACCTGGATGTTAATTTGTGAGTGGGTTGGGGTTATGTGGCACTGCTAAGAAAACAGTGTTGCTGGAAAAAAGATACAGGGAGGCTGAATTATATTTTTCAGTCAGCTTTCTATAGCTTGTTTTCCTTTAATATGTCTGAATATTACTTCAAATTACACGTAACTGTCCCACAACATTACTTCGATAGCCAAGTACAGAAATTGTGTACTAATTGGAATAGGATGTGGGTGTTTATATGGCCCTTCCAAAATATAGCATTGCTTCATAATTTTACAAAAAATGCCTACCATCAAGAAGCTTCTCCTTTGCAAAATACAAAACCACCATGCATTTATTTTGTTAATTAGAATTAAAACTAATGCCAACTTTTTGGGCCATAGATAATAATGATAATGTAAACATGTCCTCAAATTATACTTTTTTTACATTTTTGTTTCCATTCCTATGTCTGAATTTTTAATTATGCCTTTGATATGATAAAACCTAAGCTGGTCGTAAAAGTCTGTATTTATTTTCTGTGGTTTGCATCAGAAAAATTGCAGCATTCATTCCATCCACTCAGACATAGATTTATCTGATGGTGCCTAGTGCTGTGCTCAATCCTTTCATCTGTTGAGCATTAACAAGAGTGTAACAGAGCTTCTTTTTAGTAATGCGCTTTTTAATATGTTTGATCTTGGTTTTTTTTTTTCCTTGGAAAAATATAGGAAAATCCATATGTCATGAAAAAGAAAAACTACGACCAGCTAGATGGCAATGACAAGTATGAGGGGTACTGTGTGGACCTAGCTAGTGAAATTGCAAAGCATGTTGGGATAAAATACAAACTCTCCATTGTTGAAGATGGCAAGTATGGTGCCCGTGACCCTGAAACTAAAATATGGAACGGAATGGTGGGTGAACTTGTGTATGGGGTAAGTGTTTCCCTCTTTTTTTGAGCACTTCCCCAACATAATCTCTTAATATTGCACAGAAGAAGTTGCCTGAACTCAAAAAGTCAGATTTAGAAACACATCCCTTAAAATTATAATAATAATGACAATGTAAGGTGAACATTTCTTTTTCAACCAAATCAGCTATGTAACGCTAATTAATTGCAACCATGACCCATTGTGGGCAATATAATCTCATATATATAATTTTCCCAAAGTGTTTTGTAATAATGCAAAAAACCTTTTTTTCCATTGGAGTAGGGTTAGAACCCCTTTCAGGATTTTATTGCTCTCTACATTCCCACTGGGAAGGTTTACCGCTCGACTTGTTCTGGTGACCATTGTAAATGTGCCCATACACTGCACGATTCTCGTACGAGAACCGCGGGAAATCCCGCGATCGTACGAGAATCGTGCAGTGTGAATGAAGACGTGCGAACGTTTCTACTGTGCGGTCGCATGTCTTTTGTCTAAGGAGCATGCTAGAAAATCAGCCGAGAATCGTACGATTTTCGGCTGGTTTTTAGCATGATCGTAAGATCAATGCCGCACGGGCAGCATTGCGGTAATTGGAAGCCCGCCCCGATCTGTACGATCTGCCTGTCTTGCGATGGTTGTAAAGTGTGTGGCCACCTTAAGAGTAATTGTAAGAGTTGTCATGCAAGCTGTGAGGGAAAGTTTTTCATTGGGGAGAAATGTTACGGTGACAACAAAGAGTTCCCCTAACTTTAAAGAGATTTCGGGGGTGATTTACTAACCTAAACACACACACACACACCAGGTGTGTGTGATTTTCACACAGCAAAACGTATTTATCAACCAAAAAGTCTCTAAAAGCATATTTCCACTAATGTCATATATGGAAAAATCATGCACATGATGCATATATAATGCTGCTTCACAGTTTAGACAAAAATGGTTAGCTCATGCATTTACATTCCTGCATTCATCAACGCAAGCAACACAACATAGAGCTAATTTACCCAACATCACCTTGGAATTCATTCAGGGCTTTGCACAACACACCTGCTGGGTGTGTACACATTACAAAGGTGTTTAGATTCCACCCATAGATCATGCTGGGAGGGAACACACTGCAGAGGTGTATACACGTTCGTGGTGTGTTTATAAGGTTAGTAAATCAACCCCTTCCTCTCACTTCCTGTTGTGTCTCCAGGACAGGAAGTAAAAAGAAATATTCTCCTAAGCAGTGCATAGACAGAAAAAAACTGACTTAGTAATTTAAGCCTGAAAAAAAGATTCAGCTATACATACACTTTCATTTCCTAGAGAGGTTGATTTTGGAGTTTATTATTCCATCGTTTATTAAGTGCATCGAGTTCAACCTATAGAGATAAAAGGATAAAAAAGAAAAAAAGAATGTTATGCCTACAGTTACCCACTGTTGATCCAGAGGAAGAAAAAAGACCCTATTAGGCATAGTTCAATTTACTCCGACAGGGGAAAATAATTCCTTCTTGATCTCATAAGTGATCACAAAAAGAAAAAGATGGGACTTTTAAGGTACCAAATGACAATTCCAAGGCAATTAGGTAATGATTAACCGCTTGAAGACCAGGTGTTTAGACCCCCTTCCTGGCCAGGCCATTTTTCAGTGTTCAGCGCTGTGGTACTTTGACTGATATTTATTCCGTCATGCAACACTGTACTGAAATGAATTTTATACCACTTTTTGGGGACAGATAGAGCTTTCTTATGGCGGTATTTAATCACCACTGGGGGTTTTATTTTTTACTATAAACCGCCTGTTTTCAAATGACGGGCATTTCCCGCTCGCGCCGCGCGCCCGAGCGGATGTAACAGGACGTGTTTACACGCCCAGTTACATCCAAGATGCTCCCAGCCGGCCGTGTATACACAACGGCCGGCCGGGAGGTAGTTAAAATGTTAATATAAAATTCATTTGTGAAAGCCAGCTAATCAGATGTCTCCTAAGCGGACTCACTCCACTCATTAAGTAAGGTCAGAAAATACATGATTAATTGATTGTATATAGTATAACATGATTGAAAATAAACATGATTGGTTTGTAAATTAATCGAAGTGGAGGAGTGGTAGAGTTTCTCGACGTTTCACGCTAAAAAGCGCTTCCTCAGGAGATGGAGGATATCGATTAAGCAGGTTAACATGTGTGCATCAAGGCACCTTGATGCACACATATTTTTATTTTTTTTACTTTACTGATGGGTTTCTGGGAAATATATTTTCCTTTTAAAATAGAAAAAGAGACTGAGGACACAGAGCCTTCAATCTCTTTTTCTGCAGCCCCTGTTATAAATGAACAGGAATCCTCTATACTGTTCATGTGCATTCATAAACTGTGGAGATAGTATGAGTTCCTTTGTCCACCATCATGAATGAACAGGAAGTATTAAGAATGAATAGGTAGATCACTTCCTATTCATTCTTAATTGGGGATACAGTAAACATACTCTGTCCTCAATTATTTACAAATACTCAGCAATCACTGATCACTGACTGCTTGTACCCGCTCTCCGTCCTGACTCGCTGTCAAAGGAGTCTGAGCGAGTGGTGCAGGGAGAAGAGCTCGATCTTTTCTGGCAGCTGACTCCTCCCCCACACCACCGGCTCGGCCTCCTGTGACAGCTGTCTTCACAGCCACCCTCCTAAGTGAGTGGTGCGGGAGAAGTCGGCCGCTCTCATCACTCTTCTCCCCGGCACCGCTCGGCCTCCTGTGACAGTTTTTCTCCTCCGCACTGGATGCTGCACTGTGTCAGAAAGGACACAGAGCAGTGCCTAGTGGGGAGGAGAGCAACCAGAGATGCACCGCTATTTCAGCTGAAAGATGGCACTTGCGGCATTTTGCCAAAAGTGCCATTTTTGGCCAATATGTTTCGGCGGCCGCAATTTCGATGCATCCCTAATATACTGTATATATTAAATGTATACCTTTGAAACTAAAAAAATGTTTTATTTTCTAGAGAAGTGGTAAATTTAAGTCTATTTTTAAACTCCACATAGACACAAGCTGACAGTTGCCCAAATAAGCTATTTTTGTCTACCAGAGCAGGCAAAAGCCCTGTGGTCAACCAATGTCAGCCTCAGTAGTGATTGGACTAATTAGAACATATTTACCAATTGCTGTTGCCCCCCAGCCCAAGATAAGCAGCAGCATTTGTCTATAGTACTCTATCCTCCACCTTCTCCTCCACTAATATAGAGAGTAACATTCAACCCAGCCAAAAGTTCCTGCTTAGAGCGCCTCATGGAACAGGTAGCAATGGATGGTCATTGTGTGACTGCATGGCCAACCACTAATTTAATTTGTGGGCACCAATGTAGATTTTATTTAAAAGAAAAAATGTTAGCAGTCAAAGCAAAACTTAAATGTAAAATGTTTTCTCACCAAAGGAAAAAATCCACCACATACCATGGAGCTGTCCATGTATTTTTTCAGCAAGGGATATGTAATCTCAGAACAAGCTATATGATCGTTTTAAAGAATATTATATTTGAATTGTAATTTAGAATTTTAAAAAAGGCATTTCATTTTTCAGAAATCAAAATGAATGTTCTGCTCCTCTCATCACCAACTCATCATCATCACACTCAACTTAAAAGCCTGCTATTGTTAAAAGCTTTGCAATTGTAGTCATTCATTTTTTCATTTGCTTTCTTTTTCTTAAATTGCATGATCTGTAGTATTATCACAGCTTGACCTAAAATTGACTCTCAGAGAATACAACCTTTTAGTTAAACAGTAAATTAATTTTTGCTCGAAATTGCTTTTCAGTCCTTCAGAGGTCATGTATTATCATGTGACTTGATTGATCCATTCAAAAGTCAATAAATATTGACTATGCTTGTGTGTTTAAAGAGCTGGCATCATATTCAGTGTTCTCAAAAGAAAAGCATTGATTTATTTTTCTCAAGTAAAATCTGCATTCCTAACATGGATGAATGTAATGCTATCTCTTTTTTTTATTATTATTTGAATGGCCCTGTTGTCCTATTATTCCCCGGATGACTCATTTTAAAAAGCATTTCCACATTCTCAATCAGTTTACATAACTTGGAGGAGGAAAGGCCGATATTAAAGACAAATTACCATCGCTGGAGCTCCATGCTTAAACAGCCTTCCAGTTGTATTTGCATTTGTTTAGCTTGCCCTATGCATTGTCAGCTGTGAGTATACAAGCCATTTCCATTCTAAACAGATTGCCCGTGTAATGTAGAAACAAAAACTTAGTTGTAAATTCAACAAGCTTGACAAAGTTCCACAATACAAGCACTATTAACAGGCCTGATCACTCTTCATCCCCCTGACAATGGTGTTGTTTTTTTTTTTTTTCATGAAAACAAATTTTATCTGATTGTTGCTGGATATTAGTAGATCAGAAAAGTCCATACATCTTAAGCCTGATCACTCTCCATCCTTCTCGATGACATTGATGCTAGGTCTTTTTCCTTTTTTTTAAATTACAACAAACAATCTATTTTATTTGATTGTTGCTGGATCTTGCTAAAAACAGTCAGATCAGTAATGTCCACATATCTTAGGACAGGATTGTGTGATCCCCTGCAGATTACCTCTGGCCAACCAATCTCAAGTGAAAAATAAATCATCCATAATGGATATTTGCCAGAGATAGCTTTTGTTGGCCCAAGATAAGGCTTGGAGTTAAATGGCTTTTATGGGGGGGGGTGGGAGGGGGGGTTGGACCTTATTATATGCTTGCACTGGAGTTCCTGCTTGGTAAATACTATAAATATGCATGTTTGTTTGAAACACATCTTTAAGGAAAAATCTCTTATAAGAAAGATCATTTGGTGCCCATATCTTTCAATTGCCTTATCCTGTTTATGGCAGGCCTTAGAGATGGCTGTATTTTCAGTAAGGGACATATGGGTTAATATTAAAAATCAGTGGGTTAATTAGGGTAATTAATACACTTTTTCAAATGTAGGCTTGATCTTTCTTCCAGGAGATACAAGTTAAAATTAAATTACCTAATACAGAGGCCTATCAATTTATGCAAATAAACATTTTATTACTTCAGTACTATATAATGTCAAACAGCCGGTGGAACTGACTAAGTTTGTACAAAAATGTTTGAAAGATCCACAGAGTAAAGGAAGCTTATCTATTATATATAAATCCTTAATGGAAGGGAACAATATATGGATTAGGAAATATAGACTTGCGTAGGAAGAAGAACTAGGAAGACAATTAGAGCTGAGAGATTGGAGTCAAATATGGGATACAGTAGCCCGTTGTTTTATCCATTCATCAGCTGTAGAAGTGAATTACAAGTTAATGCTTAGATGGTACATGGTCCCTATTAAGTTAGCTAAGTACACAGCTGGCCATTCTCCATTGTGTTTTCAAGGATGTGGGGAACAAGGTACTATGGCTCATATATGGTGCAATTGCTCTAAAATACAGTTTTTCTGGTTAGCAGTATACCAGATAATAGGAACCGTTACGGGAAATAGATTAATGAAAGATCCATGGGAAGCCTTATCTGTAAAAAAATAAGTCAAGGCAACTGGACTTGCTGTATTTTTCTTGAAGATGTTTCACTGGTCATCCAACCAGCTTTATCAATTCTGAATGAATCACATGCTATAGATGGTCCATGTGTCACTAGCGATGCATGACTTGCATGACTTTCATGCTTTACAATGCTGTCATCTTCTTATATTCCCTGCAGTGTCTGGCTGATTTTACCAAAGCACTAGCCTCTGCAAGAAATATTTTAGAAATAATGACCCTGCATCTTGTTTAAAATTTGCTTACATTCTTTTTTTAAAAACGTTGTACATCATCCAAACCGATTTACCTTAAAAGCTTAACGCTTGATGTTTCCTGAGTTATGACTTGTTAACTGGTGTGAATGTCATGAAATAATAATGAATTCTGCACTTTAAAGAAACAAAACCAGCACTTTTCTGAAAACGCTTGCTACATGTGCAATTTTAAATAGCTTCATTCTTGATTTATGATCTTAATAGAAAGGACAAGCAGATCCACCCAGTGCAGAGAGCATTTTACCAATATGGTAGATATGCAAGCAAATACTAAATGCATCTATGATTTGATACATTTTTTGCACTTATCATATTATTCTTAGCAAAGGTTTGTGCTTTTATATGTGTACTTGATCTGTGTACATACAAAGAGGGGGGAAATGCGTTATGGCCTAGGGTTACTTTTTTAGAAAGTAGAAGGGTAGATGAAACTGACTAGGAGTTAAAAAAAAAATATTTTGAATGTTTTTGCCTGTGACTTATGTAAAATACACTTTCACTCATATAACAGCATTGAATATAATCTTAAATTTCCATTGTACTATCCTTTGATGACATCTGGTACAAAGTCAGTATTAAGCCTGCCATTGCTGACCTACCCTTCAAATGCTAGTTCCATTTTCTTTATTTAAAATGTTCTAAGTAACTCACTTGAATTATTTAGGCCGATAAGGAACAATGACCGTACTTTGACTTTTCTTATCTCCATGCTTTTTCTCCCTCTTTGGGGGTAGAAGGCATTGAAGCCATGTAACTAGCATTTTCAAAAAAGGTTAGCATAGGCAGCCCCTGGGTTTTTTTCACTTTAGATTTTGTTTAAAGGATTGAAAAAGTAAAAATTACTTATGTCCCTTTATTTCTGGTAATTTCAATAACTAAATGCTGAATTACTAAAGGAATTTAGCAAACTTAGCACTTAGCAAAACAAATGTTAGCAGATAAGATGTCGCTGTGTCCACTTCAATCATCCAATCATGAGATGAGAATGCAAAGCATTAGCGTATTTACTAATATTCATTTTGCAGAATGAAAGTACACTTTGCAATAAAAAACAGTCTATCTTGGCTAGGTGAACAGCGTCTACTGTTTTATTAAATAAACCCCATTGTCTGTCCCCTGTACTGTTTTGTGGATGCCTATCTTATAGGGCAAGCCATGGAGTAAAAAAACCAGGCAGATCAGATGGCTAATTAAAAATAGAAATGCCAAAGAGGGGGTATCACCAGTAAAATGTATGTTTATATAAGGACAGTTTTTCAAACAGATGTAAAATCCTTTGAATATTTAGTCATACAGTAACAGATAATCATTTTACATTAGGTAAACAGTAATTTCGAGAACATTTTCTTCATCCTCTTTTTACTTTTCATCTCCTTTTCTCCTTTCCCCTTGCTTTCTCTTCTCCTGTCCTCTCAGAAATATTGTAAAGGCTAGACTTGCCCTGCATTCATTTTATATCATTATTGTTAAATGTCACAACCTAGCTATTTCCTGTTTTCAATACACCTGTAAAGCAAGTCCTAAACTGTTAGGAAGCTCTGAAGACAACATTTGTAATTGATGCTTCATGTTACTAAACAAATGTGCACTTATTGAACTATTTTCTTTGTTTTCAGAGAGCAGACATAGCTGTTGCCCCTCTCACCATTACTCTGGTACGGGAAGAAGTGATTGATTTTTCAAAACCATTTATGAGCCTTGGCATCTCCATCATGATTAAGAAGCCTCAAAAATCAAAACCAGGAGTGTTTTCCTTCCTGGACCCCTTGGCCTATGAAATATGGATGTGTATAGTCTTTGCCTATATTGGAGTCAGTGTAGTTCTTTTCCTTGTGAGCAGATTCAGCCCTTATGAATGGCATTTGGAGGACACCGATGAAGCTCGTGACCCTCAGAATCCTCCTGACCCACCAAATGAATTTGGGATATTTAACAGCCTTTGGTTTTCCCTGGGTGCCTTTATGCAGCAAGGATGCGATATTTCTCCAAGGTTTGTTCCATATCACTCCATCACCTTCTTGCATTTTATGGTCATACACTGGCGCCATGGTGTATATATGTTAATTTTATCAGCCATTTTTTTAAAATCAATTGTTCTTGCTTCACAATCCACTCAGCACTCAGCTTCATCATTGCTTGCCACCATACCCATGTATAATTTGCTTGAGCCCAACACCCCTTATACATGTCAATTTAAACTTATATTCACCATGTTGAGACTGTAAAATGCATAGGGTCTTTTTATTTTAGCAATGCTTGGAGGTCTACCGTGTTTTTGCTGCATATCTCATTTTACGGTCATCTGCTTGGTGCATATAACATATGTTGCTATGCAAAAGTAATGGCTTCTTGCTCTGAAGACACATGCAACAGCAGTTTAATTACCTCTGTCTTCACGCTTGTCATCTCATGCATTTGTCTCTTCATTTCTGTTATTTTGTATTTGGCTTGCACTCTGTTTCTGTTGTGATTTCTATTCCTTTGTTAATTTTGTCTAGTTCTCTTGCATGTTGTTCATGGCTGTTAAATCTTCTTTTATATGCCAAAAACATTTGTTTATTGGCATTTAAAAGCTACAAACAAATTATTTGAAACTGCACCACAGCATTACTAAATATATTTTTACTTTAATTTTAGATTCAATCGTTACTTTTTAAAAAAAATTCAGGTTGGTTTTGAGGGCTTCCTTCTACGAGGTTTTAAAGAAGGACCCCCCACCTTTATGTATAAGAAAGAATTCATGAAAATAGTAAAAAAGCGAAGTTCATTGGGGATTCTAAATAAGAATTAATACAAATATTTGGTACCATCCCAATGTAGGTGACATATCATTTATTATCACCCTAAAATTCACAAAGACCAGGTTACCCACCAAGAAGACCTATAGTGCATGGTACTGGAACAGTGAGCAACAGATTAGGGGAATACGTGGAACATTTTTTACAATCATTAGTACAAAGATGGGCCACTTGCATAAGAGACACCAAACATTTGATACAGGATCTAAATGGACTGCAAGTCAACTAGAATAGATATGTTATTACAGCTGATGTTGCTTCACTATACACTATTATAGATCACATTGAGGCGCTTACAGCCACGAGGTGGCTGCTGCAGGGAGATAATTCCTTAGAAAGTGAACAAAAAGAGTTGATTTTAGAAGCATTCAAATGTGGCCTAGAGAGAACTTAGTTTTGGTTTGACCATAAGTACTATAGGCAGAAGGCGGGGGTCACTATGGGAGCACCTTCATGTACAAATGGGAAACAGAGATGATAATAAATAACACACCAGAGCAACTGCAGGTTTATTGATGATATATGGATGATAGGAAAGGAAATAAAGATAGCCTACAACTGTTTTTGAAACATCCAAATAAAAATAATAAAAACATTGTACCTACTTATTGCATACATAAAACTCAAGTTAATTTTCTGGATTTAGACATTTTTGTGGAGGATGGACGGCTGCAAACAAAGTCCTTTTTTAAGGATTCTGACAGGAATAGTTATATTCTTGTCAAGAGCTGTCACCATCCCTCGTGGCTCTGGAACATCCTGAGAGGAGAGATAATAAGGATTAAGAGGAACTGTTCAAAGGTTCAATCAAACATTTTAAAAACAAGGTTTGTCCAGGAAGGATATAATATGGAATATATTGATGATCAAATAGAAGAGATTGCAAAAATTAAGAGGGAAGATGTTATAGTAGATAAAATTAAGAAAACTACAGAAGTGGATGCAGAAGCGGTCATTGTACTAGATTTTAATATACAATATAGAAATATCACAAAATTTTGATGTACTGAAACTTGATGGCCAGTGGAAAAATCTTTTGCCAGCAAGACCGAAAATAGCGTACAGGAAAACAATATCTTTAAAGGATATTATAGCTAAAAACCCCCCCACACCTAGGCGACTCCTGACCGCGCGGCAATCCGCGTGGTTTTGTGCACCACAAAAGTTAAAATGATTGAACTAGTAGTTCATAGTTGCGCTGTCGACCATTTTATTCTGATTTTATGTTGTCATATGTATTTTTAACTAATATGATGTTACCACCAGTAGGTGCACCTTTATATATGCTTTTATTTTGAATCATTTATATTAGGATATTTACATTCCAAAGATTTGCTAGTGTCAGAATCATTGCCTGGGTAACAGGGACACATATGAATGGAATAGAGCATCAGAAGCTGCATACCCCTGAAGAAGTCAGGCTGGACATAACGCGCATAGGGTGGAGCTGAGGGTGTGTAGAACAGAGGCGGGTGTACACTGAGGACCGAAAAGCTTGTTATATTTGTGCCGGATTGATTGTTGTTTTTACTTTGTAAGTAGAATCTCTATTAAAGTCCCAGATTATTTTTATGGTACACGCTATGGTGTGTGTGTTTCCTTCCTTTTGTGTTCCGCTCCTTGAGGAGTGTTGAATGCATTGGGAAAAAGACTTCAGAAACAGTTAACCATTTAGGAACAATACTCTGGGAATCCCTCCTGGTATAAAAAGAGATCTGCGTTATGAGACCTGTTTGATAGGTGAGCTTTTACCCATATGGGCATGTACTACCTGGGAGGGGTAGAGGATTCACTAGTTGGTTGTATGTGTGACACATTGGTGTTTATTGGATTTGGGACTATTACAGATCATAACATTTATTAATTGTTAAAACGCTGTCTCCTTGACATACTGCTAGGGTGGACACTATTATGTCTGATTTTCTAAGCATTTGATTTATGATCACCTTTAATTTTTTACTGTTTTTATATATCATTTATATGTTTGTATTTTTCCTTTGTTAACACTTGAGATTTACAGCTCGATCAATGTTGCTATCAATGTTGGTTGATATTTTGTCCATAAATTTTCTTTATTGGTGTGGGTATTTGTGCTTAGTAGATTAGTTCACATAATTTGGCGTGGAATTGTCAATTACTTGCATATACAGTATAATTAAATTGCAAACCAATTCCAGAAAACATGTAAACTTGCAGGGCACACAAATAGTATATTTTTGTTTGTTTTCTGAAACTTGTTATTTTAAAAGATCTATTTATGCATCAAAGTGAGTTTGTATAAAACAAAATATTTAGGGGTCTATTCACGAAGCAGTCGAAGGATCTAGCCGTAGCTTCGGCTAGCCTCGGCCCCAGGACCCCTTCGGTTCAGTAGAACCGAAGGGCTGCTGTACGGGCTATTCGCTATAGCCCTTACAGCTCCCGAAATTGGTTGAGCCGAACGCATATGCTTCAGTTCTACTGAGCCTAGGTGAAAGCCGAAGCTGGCCAGCCATTGGCCGGTCGACTGCCTGCTTTTGACAGCTGGGCGGAGCCAGCCATGATCTTACGGCTGGCTCCGGCCACTTGCAGAGAGATCACCGTCCCTGGTTACCAGCTAACCAGGTACACTGATCTCCAGACAGCCCAACTCTCCCGGGCTCCGGGAGTCTCCCCCTCCCGGCCGCCCAGGAGAGAAACACTGCTTTTTCTTTTTTTTTATTCTGACATGGAGTCGTTGGCTGTCGTCAGAATAAAAAAAAAAGTTTCACCATAGGAATGCATTGCTAGATTCCTATTGGCTATTTCAATTTGCAATAGCCAATAGCAAACTAGCTATTGCACCCGCCCACTGTTGCTGTCAATCAGCAGAGGGGACCTACAGTAGCAGAGGCCGGGTGCAATGTTAATAACCCTTTAATATTGTGTTTTTTGGATAGGAAGCAAAGGTAAATCTCCCTAAGTACAACTAAAGGCTCCTTTGTGACAGTCTAAACAAGTCTCGTATTCAGTTACTATAGATTGTACATGCCTTATAAAATAAACAAACATGATTTACTTCCTCTTACTGAGGTAAATTATCTGTGTCTCTAACCCTCCCAGACAGTGCAACTCACAGTGGAAGGATTTCACCAACAGAGGTTGTGATATGAATCCAGAAATCAGTGGGCAGGATTAGGTGTGGCCAGGTGCTGAATAATGCTACAGGCTTGTGAGTCAGCAGTGAGTCATTGTGCTGATAGCTCACCCCCCTGCAACTAATCCCACAGTAGTGCAAGTAGGTCTACATAAGAGTGGCTACTCTGTTCTGAATTCAGGAGCAGTGCAGCATTGTTGCCACCACATCACAGGAAGCTGCATTAGGTGCACTTCAGTGACAGACTCTACAGGTACTTGTGGGACTTTGCAGAAAGTTGCATGTGCACATACATTATTAATAATGCTGCAGCATATATTTTATGTAATGGGAGGCCATAGTTCTGCTTTTAGCTACAGATATACAGTACAATAAATGACGTTATATACTAATACGTTTTGTTGCTTACAACCAGAATAGGAACATCTCAGTCCCTTTACATTTTGATACATATTAAAAGCTAATTAGCTAGAGTAAATGAAACAGAAAACTTTTTGTTATCATGGAAACCTTGGTAGTGATTTGAGGATAAGTGTAGTAACTTGTGCTACAGTAGTAATACTCCATCTATAATACTCAAGCTGTAGAGAGCTGGAGCATTCTGAACTATTTGAATGTTTGGCTTGTCGTGTTTGGTGTCTGTTGTTTTCTTCCTTCTATGTAGCTGTTTAACATGGATTTGAAGGTGTTAAACTGCTGTTGATATTGTGTTTGCCCAGTTAGAGAGACCGGCAAATAAGTTTTATGACATCGCAAGGGAAGCTTTTTCTCTTATATTTAGGAATATGTTTTTATTAGTAGTATTACTGTACTACACACATTTGAATCACATGATGAAAAAGAAAGATATAAACCGGGTCAATCCATAAAAACACAATATTGTTGCTCTAAATAGGTCTATAAATATGGCACATTGTACCATAATTGCTACTTGACTACTATAGGCCATATACAACTAGACTGGAATGTTTAAAACCTCTATGGTGGTACTGTAGATCTCAAACTTTAAGATGTTAATGACTTTTGCAACTTTATTAAATTGCATGTCCTTACAAGTTGCCTATATGATTGTTACCCCTTCAGTCTGTTAGAATCTGTCAGACAGAAACCCTGTGCAACGTAACACTGTAAGGGTAATTCAGAGGTATAAACAATATTACTAGGACTAAATGGTAGTTGCACAGAGTCAGTAGGAATCTTTACCCCTACAGAGAGCTTTGAAGATTGAATGCACAGCAAAAAAGGGGGCAGTTAATAAAAAATGTTTTACAGAGACATTTGCATTGGCCATCTTAAACGTTTTCTGCACTTTGAATTTATTCCCTCATTAGTAGCAAATGAGTTACTCGCCGTTTGCCCAGTTTTCATTGACTAAAGGTCAATTATTGTCAGTAAAAGCTTTTTCAGACTTACCTTTGCAGCGGCTGCCATTGACTTTCAGATGCATGCTTAATTTTAAATGGTTGGGATAGAAGATGCAGTTGTACAAGGGCTGCATTGGTGTGTGTATGCATTTCTTAGGCAATTACTTCTATTGTGCTTTAAATATATATGCAAAATCTATTGCAGACTGGGCACATCAGCAGCTGTGTTGATCAACTCATTCTGTGCATGTACAGCCATCTATTTCTATCCATGCAGCTATGACAAAGGCCAGAGAGGGTTATTACATCTTAGTTAAGAAGTTGATGACTATTCACCTGCACAGGATAAGATGTCCTTTCTTTAAAAACGTACATAGAAAATCATCCAGATGAAAAAAAACTGCATATCTATAGGTACTTGATGACAAAGGGATATTCACACAACTGTCTCTTACTTAGTTAGAACTCTCTTCAAACGCATATTATTTTAAGTTTTTGCTATCAACTATGAATAAAATTTATTTGCATGTAAATTAGTTACATAATAATAAGTTCTATAGGAAAACAATTCTATGACATTTAAATAATGCAATTCAGGTTTTATGCAGAGCTGATGCATACGACATTTCATGAAATACAGTAATTCATTTTTTTTATCCTAAATTATTTATTATTTTCTAGACATGCTTAGAAACTTTTCATTTTCCTAAACTCTTAAAACATGACTGATCCAGATTTTGTTTTGTGTCATTTTCAATGTATATTTTTTGTATTTCTTATTGCTACATTACAGCAGTTTAATATTTTCCATTGGCTCAGTGTTTAGTAACAGCAAACAATAGAATGTGGTGATTTTTATTTTTTTCTTCATCATCATCTGTGTTTTATTTCAGTTGTGTGACTTCTGGGAGATGTTGGTGCCTCTTTTTTAGAGAAGGATTTTCTAGATTATCTGGATAAATATCTAATCTCCTTTATCTTACAGATCCCTCTCTGGGCGAATAGTTGGAGGAGTGTGGTGGTTTTTCACTTTAATTATAATCTCCTCCTATACTGCCAACTTAGCTGCTTTCCTTACAGTGGAAAGGATGGTGTCTCCAATAGAGAGTGCAGAGGACCTGGCTAAACAAACGGAAATAGCTTATGGCACTTTGGATTCAGGCTCTACCAAAGAATTTTTCCGGGTATGTTAATTTTACTGTACTGGTTCTTGTTAATAATGCATACACAGTTTCTGTGCAAATAGGGCATGAATGCTACTATTAATACCATAATCAGACATACTCACAACGCCTATTGGTGGCTTTTTTTTAATGTATGAATTGTAGGAGTTAAAGGGGTTCTAAACCCTCTGTTTTTTTTGCCTATATCTACTGCTAGCATGCAGTAGATATAGGCAAGAAGTGTAAAAAAAACAAAAAACGCTTAAAATCCTTTTAAACTTACCTCGTTATCGCCGCTCGTTCCCGCGCCGAGAATCAGGAACTGCTCGTACGGCCGCAAAGGATCTTGGGGCGGGCGCATGTGCAGTTCCGATTCTCGGCCGGGAGACGAGCAGAGACGCAAGGTAAGTCTATGGACGCGTGCACCCGCCTGCAGACATCGCTGGATCAGAGAGACAGAGCAGTCGGCGCTGGATCGGAGTGACGTCACACCGCTGGAGGGACAGATGAAAACATGGGGAAAGAAGAGGAAGATCGGAAAAAGAGACATCATTTAAGGTAAGTGCTAACATTTACATTGGGGGGAGGAAAAAAAATGTTTGCCTTTAATGTCACTTTAAGTGGAGCAATTGCATTATTAAAAAAAAAAAATTAAAATGTGAACTTTGGAATTCTAAATAGATAATATCTAGCCTTTTGCTGTTATATGACGGTTGTCAGAGCAGCAATATGCAATGAGACGGACAGGCCTAATGGACATGCCATTAGGAGACATTGATGTTTGGGGACAGCGTATGGACACACATTTGGCGTATTGGCCATGGCAGCACCATTTTGCCTGGGATTCCCCAATAGAAAGAAAAGATGGGCATTACCAGTGAACCTCTGAGGCAACCAGGGAGTGCCAGCAAAATGTTTAGGAATTACACACTTCCCATGCCTTCACAACTACAGGGACAGACTCCACCTTGGACTCCAGGATGAAAAATGCCCTGGAATGTTGTGATATATCTGGTGTTGGTTTTTTTTTCTCATTTATTAGTGCATATAAGAAAGGACTGAAAAAAAAACTGGTGAATGCTGAAAACTGTGCAGTTTCTGTATGACTGCTTAATTAGTGCTTCCTTATTCCTTGTTGCACCTCGCTGGCTTTCCATACACATCTCCCTCTCCTCGCTGAGTCACTGTCGCCCCTTTGTAACTAAAATATTTACACCACTCTGGTAATGGTGTATATTTTAGGACTGTTTTGAAATTAGGTGCAAGTGCTTCATTACTTTGGAACACGTGATTAAACATTTATAGAAATTGTTAAATTGTTGCATAGTACTTTAAACATGATTTGGCACAGCTGGTACAACACTACATAGAACTTCACTTACAACATTCTTAATTTGGCGCATGGAAAATACATTGATATTGATACCGTAAAATATATGAATTTCCCTTTGATAATTCCACCCCCCCCCTCCCCCCCATTGTGTGGTGTGGTATGCAATGGTTGTGATTTTTTTTTTATATGTGTTGTCCTTTTTATGTTAACTGAGGAGTTGGACTGTGTTTTGTTTGCAAAGAGCTGTGGAATGATAATGGATATTCTCTATATGACTAAAATAAAGTTCCATGTATGTGAAAACATCTACCTGTGTATAGCAGGTTATTAAAGGACTTTGTGTATTTTAAATGTTTTCTCCCCACTGAACAGTATTTTTTTTTAAATGCATTTTGTAAATGTTCCCATGGCAGTGTCCAGCTACCCATGTCCTTTTTTAACAAAATGTCTGTCAAGGTTCTCATTCATCCAGGTAATGGTATATCTGTAAAAAAATAAGTCAAGGCAACTATACTTTCTGTAGTTTTCTTGAAGATGTTTCCAGAACAGAGGCCAAGACAAAGGAATTCAAACACCTCAGGGGGGGGGGGCGTTAAAACTTGGCGGTATCCAGACTGGGCTTTTGTCAAAACAAGGGTGAAAAGCATGACAAACTGAAGAATTTGGTCATCTCATATTTAGCTGGGGTGTCTGAGAAACTCAGAAGGGTTTTTAAAAAACATTACATCCCTGTCTGCTTTAAACCCAGCAATACACTGAGGCAACAACTGGTTCACCCAAAAGACCCAATGCCAAAACACAAGATGAACAACATAGTGTATGCAGTTCAGTGCAGTGAGGAGTGCTCAGAATTGTATGTCGGTGAAACAAAACATTATGTGGATTGGAGCAACATTCACCATATTTATTCCCAGATAATTTTTTGTACAAGTTATTCTGAATTGACAAAGCTGGTCGGATGTCCGGTTGAAACGTCTTCAAGAAAAATACAGCAAGTCCAGTTGCCTTGAATTATTTTTTACAGATATTTTTTAACAAAAGCTTGCAAATTAACCAGCACTATGTCTGGGGTTCACAGACCTCCTGCCAAGTTTGCTAAACCTCCTGCAAACCAAGCCATCAGCAAATGGGCACTAGTGGAGGGTGGTGATACAACATTGCTGGCAAAAACACAAGCACTATATTGACAAATTGATTGTGGCTGTAGCAGGTCGGGGAAGATCACTGTAAAGCACTGAAGCTACCCCATGGCCCTGCCAAGGCTAAATTATATACACTTACGTTGTGACAAGCTGCACCAATGTAAGTATACATAAAGCCTTATAGCTAGAGTTCAGCTTTAACATTGTTCATCTTAAAAAAAAATTGAGAATATATACCAGTTATGTATTATCATAATTACAGAGAGAAAAAACATCTTGAGTCTTAAAATGATTCTTATGTCATAATACTTTTTATTTGCAATTAAATTATACCCAGAATTTAGTTTGACTAGATGTTTGTTACAAAATACCTGCACATTGTAATTTGAAATCTTTGTTCATTTGTGAACATTAATGACATGAAATAAATCAGTAGAAATGTAATTTGACTAATAATCTCGTGTTTTGTTTTTTTTTGTTTACCACCAGCGTTCTAAAATAGCGGTGTATGAGAAAATGTGGTCTTATATGAAGTCTGCAGAACCATCTGTGTTTACTAAAACCACAGACGACGGTGTGGCTCGTGTTCGGAAGTCTAAAGGAAAGTTTGCCTTCTTGCTGGAATCCACGATGAACGAGTACATTGAGCAGAGAAAACCATGTGACACCATGAAAGTTGGAGGAAACCTCGACTCCAAAGGCTACGGAGTGGCAACACCAAAAGGCTCAGCATTAAGGTGGGTGGAATAATATAACAATATATGTGTTGTTATAGTATTCCACCTTCCCTGATGTGTTGTGTTTTTTCTTTATTTTGTTTGTGTATATTTGAGGTAACACAGGTTTACACTTTTATCATGGCAGGATGGTAATTGGTATTTTTTTTATTCAACTATTCACATTTGCCTTCTTTTTGTGTTCCAACTTTTATTTTACAGTTCAATAACCTTTTAATTTACATTTTGAAAACCACAATTAATTGATGTATGTAGTGAATGTTAATTGCATGATGTGAATTTTGTGTTTAGTAGTCTGAAGAGTGGTCCCTTATCCCTCTCCATCCTGCATATCTTAGTTATATGGATAACAGTCCCATCCCAAAGCACAAGCCACCTTATTATATTTGAACTAGTCTTTGCTGTTGTTAATTTTATAGCTTTTTTTTTTTAAATCTCTTAGACAATTTGTCCTTTGTGCTCCTAAATATTACAATTTCCTTGGTAGAGATGTGCGATTTTTTTTTTTTCTGAATTTAGATAAAGTTTGTCAATAAAAGACAAACAGAACAATATTTAAAACAAGCAATTACTGCTACATCAATTTTTTTATGAACTGATAAAAAAATGTATATTTGGAACTTTAGTGAGAACTAAAACATTTTTGCAAATTGTTTTCTTAAAAGCAAAAATATATTGCCGATAAAGTTCGCAAGACACATTTAAAGACATTCGCACAACTCTATTCCTAAAAGCCTCTTGTACATTTTCTTACAAGTTATGTTTTATCGTTTCAAGAAATGCTGTTAACCTGGCAGTATTAAAACTGAATGAGCAAGGACTCTTGGACAAATTGAAAAACAAATGGTGGTACGACAAAGGAGAATGCGGCAGCGGGGGAGGTGACTCCAAGGTCAGCCTCAATGTCACCACAATCGGGTACCTTAGTCAAGAGTAATCGGCAAGACTGTTATTTCAGTAGCCAAGACAAAGACCAAATGATAACTAAATAACTATTGAAAAAAGTATATTATTTTCACAGTAGCTTTGAAATGTATACTATATGTTGGTATATACCATTGGATGCCTTTTCCACTTAGAAATCAACATACTATAGTTCATCAAAGGGAAAATTGGATTTATTTATTTTTAATTCATGTTAAGGCTACATTTTATACTAAGAAAAAAGCTTACAGGCACATGATAATGTGTTGTGACATCTGGGCAAAATGCTATTATAGCATAGTTTTGTGAAAGAAAAGCATCACTTAAAATCCTTAACTTGGTGAAATGGATACAATTGGTTTCTTTGACAGTGAGTAATATATATGGTGTCCATTTTTTTAATAAAAGAAATGTATCACAAGGTGGCACTGAGTGAAATGTGACACATTAGCATTAACATATTAGCTGTATATCTGGGGTGCTTAATAGAAATATCTGTACAAGATGAGAGGAATTGAGGTACATACAGCTATGTTTCTATGCATTTAGCATACATATATATGTACTTGTTTTTTGAAGGCAGCAGAACCACCGGACACTAGAAAACTGTTGGGCGGAGCTAGCTGTCACTGCTAGCTCCGCACAATTATTTTTTATTTACTTTTTTTAACTATTTTTCTGTTCTGCTCGGCCTCTGAGGGACCGAGCAGAACAGCCGAGCCGAATCCCGCTCAGCGGCATTCGGCTATTCATTCACTGCCGTTCGGCATCTATAAGAATAGGCCGAACAGCAGTGAGTAGCCTGCCGGAGGTTCGGCTCAGCCAATCCAGATGTTGAGTTGAACTCCTTCTGCACTTCGGGTCAGCCGAACATGCTGAGCATGTTCGGCCGACCCGAAGCCATGCGAAGCAAGCCGATGTACGGCTGATTTCAGCCGATACACGGCTAAAATCAGCCGTACAAGCCTGAAGTGAATAGCCGAACAGTGTTCGGCTCACTTCACTTGGGGTCGGTTGTTCACTCGGCTGCCCTCGGCAGCTTAGTGAATAGATTCGTAAGAATTTTAAAATTGAGATAAATGATATAATCACCTCTCAAATTCAAATGATGTTAATATTTGTAAATATACATTTATATTTTGGTTGCAGCGTTTATTTATTCACTTGTCTGTGCGGAGTGCTTACACATACTCCTTTTAAAAATCAAGTTTCATTTTTAGTATCAATTAGTATATTAATTTGTCTGTGTGATATTTTGTATTCCAAAGATTAAGACTTGTGATGTTAGCAGCACATACTTGCCCTACCTTCACTCTCTCACCACTCCATTCCAATGCCAGGAGGAAAGAGAGGAACTCATATTGGAGCTTACACAAGAAAAAGCAAACCTACATGTAAGGTCACTGGTGCTTAAGCAGCTGACCAGCTAGCATGAGCAGCAACATGTGGTGGGAAAGAAAGCTTGACCCATGCTGCCCCGTAATAGAAAATACTAAATATATTTTCTTTGCTCATGAAGGCTAAACGGGGCAGCAGTGGAACATAAGAAAGGTGACTATGTGCTTTTGAAAAGTATGACCACTACGTTCAGTTTGTGAACACAGCCATGAACCTTAGAAGCTAGGGCAATCAGTTTGTCTGTTATATGGAAAGTAAAAGTCAGTGGGACTGCTGGACTCTTCTGAGTATAGATATATAGACATTTGACTTTAGTAAATCAACTCCATAACATTCAAATGCTATAATAACAAGACTCAAATATTGTATGCTGCAGTTTAGTATTAGTTCAACTCGGTGAAAGGTCTTTTGCAAGAGAATGCACTAAAATGCTTTCAAGTTTACAGAAAGTAAAACAATTATAATCTTAGCAATAAAGCCTATTGCCATAAGTCACTGCTATCTCAGATTAGCCATGTAGTGACCCAACTATAAAAGGGGTTTGATTTTTGTTGCCCAAGTTAAATAAGATATGTCCATCCATCACTCACTACTCCTGCAGAGCAGGTAATATATCTATTTTTTTACAAAATTTACATCAGGTCACAAAACAACCACACATAATAAGAAAGCTGGCTGATGCACATGATATTTACATTTTATTCACAATGCTCACTATATCTAAGTGGAAAAGGTATCCCAAAAAAGCTCTTTTTATATTCAGAAAAGTTACTGCTGAAAGCTAAATCAATATCGGAGTATGAAATTTAAAGCCTGGTGCCAGTTTAGTTTTGTCATTGTTATCCTTTTAACAGTGTGTGCCGATTACTCAAAGCGATATAGGCAGGACCTGGTAATTTAGTGTCACTTGTAGTGTTAAAACTAAGGTGATATTCAGGTTGCCTGCAGTTCATGATCTTTGTGTCCAGGGTCCCTGCTTTATCGCTTTGTATAGTATGAAAATAGTTTTACGCTTGAATAACATAAAATAACATAATATAATGTTATTTATGTTATTTCCCACGTGAAGAACTCCCGTAAACCTTGCAGTATTGAAACTCAGTGAACAAGGCATCTTAGACAAGCTGAAAAACAAATGGTGGTACGATAAGGGTGAATGTGGAGCCAAGGACTCCGGAAGTAAGGTCAGTCGCAGAAGGTCTTTTGAATTGAATAGAAGTCCCATTTTGACTCACCGTTCATGCACACAAATTTTATTTATTTTTGAAACACAGTTCTAAAATATAACAGGGGATCAGCAACACTCTTATCATGCCAGACTGAGTGGGCAACATTTATTAATGGCTGACAGTCATGAAACTGGATGGTGTCACCCAGTGAACATTATTTAGTATATCTTTCCCATTTTTTTAAATTTGATTTTTAGACATTATTTATGGCAAAATTGCATATAAGGATAGTGTGCTATATAAATTAATTTATTTAAAGGGAAATAACAAGCTATTACCTGTCAAACATCTTTTACTTCACTCATTTGTTTACCTCTGACAATTACCAGTACTTTATAGAGTACATAAACCATGCACATAAGCCTATTCCTGAGAATAGATCACAATCTAAAGCCCCTATCATTCTTTAGTTTCATTTTGGTCAAAACCAGTTAACACCAGTATGTGTTTTTGTGGAACAAAAACTGTAAAACCCACACCAACTTAGGAAAACATACAAACTCTATGCAGACAGTATAAAAACTGAACCCATGATTCATGCTTTGCAACACGAAAGGCCTAACTACATAGATATTATGCTGTGTTGATTAGCTACTGTGGGTAAATTGTATTAAAGCAGTATTGAGCTTGGTTAATATATTGGTACAAGTGCAATAACTATACACAGTAGCAACTAATTAGTCACATCTGTAAGAGCTGATTTGTGATTGGTTGCTATGGGGTACTGTACTTTGTACATAGGATTGTTCCTCTACACTGTGGTATCAAATCACCTTAGTTTTAAACTCAGAATTAAGCCTATACAGAGTTTATGATATGGTGTCCAGCTCCGAGAATTACATTGACTAAATAAAGTACACTGGTGATTGAAGCTGTTGTTTTGTTAAAGTGGTCCTATACTCGAAACTTAACCTGAGGCTACATTAAAGATGTGGCCGGAAAGGATAAATGATGAATGATAGAAGAGATTAAATGTGTGCCTTTCTAGAGAAAATACTGCTCCAGGCTCCCTCTAGTCCTGGTCACATAACTAAAAGCCAATGCATTTGGTCATGTGATGTCTGCTGAAAAGGAGGATTACAGTTCTGAATGGTTGATTGCCCCCTTCACCAGAGATCATGTAACCAAAACAACCTGTCTAAGAGTGGAGCAAAACAGTCTGGCTATCCATTATACTCTTGTTGGTGGCTAAATTATATACTTATACAAGTATGGGTAAAAGATGACAATAACATTTATAATCCAACCTGCTTAGCATTATGCTTTCACCCCCTGTTAATACTAGGAATCATACAGCCACATAATTTCTTCATGCCAAAATTCAGATCAATGTCTCAAGATAAGCGCAATTTACACATTTACAAAAGAAAATCCTACCATGTCACAAGAGTAACTTCTCTTTCAATATATTCATGTTAGATGGGGTCTGCAAACTTAGTTATAAATTCCAGTTTAACCATGATTATACAGTGATTAGGATTGGCTGTCATTTCTGCAGTGTATGGAAACCATGGCTTTCATAGAGCAGGGCTTGCAACTCATGGAGACAGTATAACTAGACAGGTTATGGTGAGAAAGGACCTAAGGAATCAAAAAGCCCTCAAATTGATTCAGTTTGTAGCACAGTAAAGCTTTCCTAGAGTAGAAATTAAGAGGCATCGTTCCATCAAATATCCCCAAAATAACGATTATTCCTCGTTTCACAACAGTGAAATGACCAGCACTTGGTCCAGCTTCCTAAATCTAAATAGACCAGGGGCGTAACTAGAAATCACAGGGCCCCATAGCAAAATTTTGTATGGGGCCCTGTGATTTCTAGTTACGCCCACCTGATAACCCAAACAGCCCACCTAAGGGTGACCCTGCAGAGCCCACCATAGACTCTCTATGGTAGGCTCTGCAGGGTCTCAGGCGGGCGGTCAAGCCCTCTTACCTGTCAGCCCTGATCCTCTGTCCGCCTCCTTCTCCTCCACGATCGACTCCTCCATCACTGGACCCCGCCTCCTCGATCGCCGGGCCCCGGCCCCTCGATCGCCGGGCCCCGCCCCCTCGATCGCCGGGCCCCGCCTCCTTGATCACTGCCGATGATGGGCCCAGCCACCTCCTGCAAAGCTGCTGGTTGTCACCAACTCAGCAGCGGCTGTGAGAAGGAACGGAGCATTCCTCCTCACAGCCGCCAGTGACAGCCAGCAGCCTGGCTGTCTGAGCAAGATGCCATAGCGACCCAGGCGGCCCGCATGGCATCAGAGAGATGTCCTGGCCGTGCCTCGGGCCTCATAGCGGCCGCCTGGGCCGCTATGGTGATTGTTACACCACTGAAATAGACGTACAGTTCTCCGGTAATACAGTAACTATCCCCAAAATGACATCACAGCTGGGATAGGAATAGGTCCAAGGCAACACAATTTATTTTAGAAATTATCCTTTAGCCTAATCCTTACCCTATCCTAGTAGCACTACCCTAAAACGTTCATGAACGCCTAATAATTAAGCTATTCCTAAAACTAAACCCTATACTTTTTCCTAACCTTAAGCCATAGTTTATCTTTAAATCTAATCCCTTAACTCCTGAACCTAAGCCTAACTATACATTAAGGCTGAACTCCAGGTATATATAACAGAACACCAACATCCTGTTATCTGTATTTAGAAAACAAATCTGTAACTGTATTTTACATACACATAGCACAAATGCCTGATTCTGTCCCATCAACAGTGGACATGTTTACAGTGAAAGAACAGATTGGAAATGTCATTGGTGTGCTCCTTCTCCTTGATTGTCCAATCATAGAAAGTGAACAGGCTGAGAGCCAAGTTATATTTCTTAAACAAAAGCTCTAATTTTTAGAAAACCTTGGCAATTAAATCAGTTCTCCTAGGTTCACTTCAACTTTATATTTAGCTGTTTTTCAGGAGTTAACCCTTAAATTAACATCACCTGAGCTACAATCTGATTATTAACTAATATCTGAACTATAGGGCCAATACTCATTTTTTATATGCCAGTTCATACTAGTTTCTTTAGCAAGCCATGTGGGTTTTAAAATGTCAGCATCAAAAACTCATGCTCCACACAGATTTTTGTGGAGAGGTTTGTAACCCTTGCATTTCAAAAATTAATAGCCTCAAACTTTTTCTGCTAAGCTTTGATCTCTGAGGTATTATAGAGATTGGGGTGTCACAGGCTCAATACCCCCCATTTATCAGGTAGGAACACACTTTTGCTTTCATTTTCTGTATCAGTATGAGATCATAGTAAATCAGCCTAAGTGGGTTGAAGTAATGAAAACACATATCAACAGTTTCTAGAGACTTACTAAGACTGTACTGAGCAATAGCATTTTACTGATAATATAATCCAAAAGGAACAATTCTACATAAAAATTGTAATACCATGGTGAATATATTTCCCAACATTAAAATAGGCTAGCTGCAAAACTCATTTTGCCTTTGCCAGACTGAGAGCATATCTTGGTCATTTAATTGCTTTATTCACATTTACATAATGTTTGCTAAATTGGTTATTTCCCTTTAAATAAACCATTTTCTACAATAACACTTAGTTAATACTATTTCATTTTTAATCAGCTTATTAATGCTAGTGAGATCCACAAGTATCATGAAATACAACATATGAAGTATTTCCACATAGCCTTATTATTTAAATTACTATTATTAATAGATGGTGTCAGTAGCTCACTCCATCCAACATTCATGCGTTATGTACATTCACTCATTTGTGCTGCCATTTAGGTAGTCTGTAAAGTTGCTTGGGAAACGTTTCAGCTAAAGCACTACAATCCTCTTTTCTGTGAATTATTTATTAAAGCACTCACTGAATGACCACTAAAATTTAATTGTCGGTCACTCCTTAAGTGATTTAATGAATACATTCTAATTATATTTTGGCCAAATCAAATCAATGTTTCCTTATTTTTAAACATGTTACTGTTTTGAGTAATAGATTCTGAGTAACCAAAATGAATACATTTCAGAAGAATTAAGATGTATTATAGACTTAGCATTTCTAGGGTACATCCGGATTAACACCAGCTATCTTTTTTAAAGTTTTCAATCTGCATGAAAAAGATTATGGCATAATGCAAAGAACTGTATTATGGTAGCTTATCAGTAATATGGCTTAAATTAATGCTAAATACTTTGAAAGATTAACTTCCAGTAATCCAGATCAAGTGACACAGAGTCATATACATGGTTATATACATGTAAAAGTTCTCCAATATATTCACATTGACAGCGTTTTTCTGAATTGGACAACCTTGAGCTACCTAGTTTTTTTGGCGGCATGGTCATGCATGAAAGAGTAAAACTCAGCAAGTCTCAGAATTTCTAAGGCTCAGCTAGCAAAGGATACAATAAATGGTGATATATATAAATTTGCAATACATATGCAACACCTTTTATCAGATTAGGGAATGCTACGTATTTTAGATTTATATTTATAGTACTTCAGAAAAAGTATAATGCCTTTTGAGTTTGAGTGTTGTAGTTTGATTAATGCTACATTATCAGAAATTATGTTACAGGATAAGGTAGTGGAGTACATATATGCATGAAGAATGTTTCAGCTCTAAAAAGTGACATAGAAAGCTAACTTCTGCATGTAAGGTATTGCTTTCTTGTAGAGTATGACATCAGTTTTAGAAGACTAAAAGGAATGCATTCAGCGCTGTGTAATTAGGTCAGGGATGCTTTTAGAAAACATTGCAATCATTTGCCATGTATCCAGGAAACTAACAAAGTTGTTCATTTCTCTTAGGACAAGACAAGTGCCCTGAGCCTCAGTAATGTTGCGGGGGTATTCTATATTCTTGTTGGAGGCCTTGGACTAGCCATGATGGTGGCTTTGATAGAGTTCTGCTACAAATCACGAGCAGAATCCAAAAGAATGAAACTGACAAAGAACACACAAAATTTTAAACCTCCTCCTGCAGCCAGCACCCAGAATTACGCAACTTACAGAGAAGGTTACAATGTCTATGGAACGGAAAGTGTTAAAATTTAAGGGTATGGCTTAGATGAATGAGCAATTTCTTGGGGTTTGGTTCTTTTACTGGTTTGGTCCTTTATGTGTCTGTTTATTTTGGTTATACGGTCTTATGTTATACTCAGTGGACTAAGAATATTGATTAATTGAAGTGAAACCTACATTATCATAACATAATGGAGCTATAAAACAATATAAGGGTCGAAGCACATAGATTTGCATTATTTCTCTCCCCATTTGTCCTCCTTTCTGTTTTTTTCTTTCGGAGACAGGGGAGATAAAGCAAAAGAAATGGGGAAGAGGTGTTTGTAGGCACAACTGATTTCTATGAAATCTAGTATACATGGCCACCAGTGAGAGATTGATATCCCCAAAACAGAGGAAAGATGACATACATCAGTTCTGTGGGGTCCACAATCTTTTGCTAGCAGCCATATATGCCGAGTTTTGAGTGATAATATAGACTTCAGGTATTCTTATGCAACCCTCTATAACTTTTTTGAGAAACACAGAAAAATTATATTTGAAATACGCAGGAAATATGTTTACAACCAAATTGTTTTTTTTCCCTCTAGGTCCCCTTCATTCATTCCTGTGCCAATGATGGTAAAACAGGGTCTGCAAAGTCTTATTTCAGATCTTGTCCTCTACAGTTGGAATTCATAATATATATATATATTTTATTTCATGCAAAGTAAATATAGCAATATTTCTTTTCAGATATCCAACAAGAAGAGCAAAGTGATTGGGTTAACATTTGAGAATGAGGCTTCCTCCTACATCCTGACCACCTGAGCCAGTTATACACTTACCTTGGTGTCAGGAAATGACACAAACTGCTGATGGTGCAAAGAACTTTTACTAGAAAGAACTGATTTTTTTTCCTTCAGTGCCTTATGGAACATTCTGAGTCTCACAACAATGCAAACTGAAATGCTAACGCTTTGCTTGAAAAAAAAAATCTTAAACTGGCCACAAGACAAGATTATCTCATGTAAGAAAATGTACTCTTGTAAAGAACCCGTTCTAAAAAAGCCATTATTATTAGCACTCTACAGGGCCACAGATGGTCTATATGCATTTTTAAAGGTGCGTTCACTCTCTTGTGAGTAACACATTCCCACTGTCCCGTCTTCATTGTAGTGGCTTGCTATTTGTCTCACTGAAATCACTCAAGCTGTCAGGGTTAATTTTTTTAAAAACAAGACATAAATGAATGCCTCAGCTTAATTTGATTTTAAGACTGAAATCCCGAAGATCAAGAAAACGTAAAATGTCTACTATCATGTAAAGAAGATCACTGTGTGTCTATATTAGTTTTATTAAGTGTGTAGAGTGAATGCACTTTTAAATTCCTGAGTGTTACTTTAATACGTTTATGCTGTTATTGTTAGTAATGCTGTTATATGTTATAATGGACAACCTGATAACTAACAATGTCTTTTGGGTTCTTCCTAATGATGGTAAAGCCTATACCTGAAGTGTAACCTCTATCTTTCCTCTAAGATAAACACAATGAATGCAACATTTAGGCATGGAAGAAAAGAAAACAACCATAACTATTTCAGGTTATATATGTATAAATATATTTTTATACCTAAAGATCTGATACACTGTTTAAGAAATGAAGCAGTGACTTGTTTAGTGCTTTAACAGGCTTCATGTGACATATAAAAATGTCCACTTCGTGGAACTTATGTATCAAGTGCAGACACTGGCAACATTTAATTGGACAGTTTTCCTGCACTTTAGCCATAGTGTTTCATAAATCGGGTTAACGTTGGTCAAGCTACAAGCATTTGTCCACGAATCATGGCACATTTGCTAAAAAGTTATGCTAGTTAATAACATAATATAGCAGCATCACATGTGTTTTTAAGATTACAATAATGAGTGCAATGATTTCTAAATAAAAGAAGAAGATCATGGTATTAAGTGTATACGATTCTGTCTAGAACAACTGTATCAATACATAATAATAATTATTATACTTGTTTATTGACATATTGGGGTTCCAATACTGTGTCACATATAAATAAAATAAGCTTAGCTGTCACCTCTCAAAATGACAACCAAACTTTGACTTACTTTTCAAATCAGAACATGAGGAAATTACTTTCTTACTGACCCAAGGTAAAAGTTAGAACAACCAGAATGAACCTCTTGGGGTAATTTCCCATTAGTTCTACCTCTAGCTATGATGCACAGTAACTTAGGCAGAGACAGGGTAGAACAGGCAGGTGGAGTTACTTGCAAGTAATAGCTAGTAGTGGACACATTTAACTGGATTTTTTCTGTAATGTTGAAGATGTTTTGCAGCTTATCCAAGCCACTTCTTCAGTTCTAAGGCTGGGCTATGTTCCTGACACTCATTAGAACTCAATAAGTAGCTTGGATAAACAGAAAAGCGTTGGATGTGACTAATTACTACTAGCCATATCATGACCTGGATATAAAGGAACATTCACAGACATATTGCAAGTCAGTGGCAGAACCTAGCTAATACTGTGCAACACATGGATAGATTTTTCTACTCCGATTGCAAACTGTCATTTATTGGGGCTGATTTATTAAACCAGTCACTTAGCCCATTAATGTATATCCAATATAGAAATACCCCTTTCACATGATAGAATGATTTACGTGAACACAGCTTTACTGGACTAAGTGAACATTTGACTCCTTTAGTTAATCAACCCCATTTTTGTTTGTCATATTCCATACACAGCTTAGTAAAATATTAGGCAAGAAAACATGTTTTTAATTTCATAAATTGACTTCTCTACAATATTTATTGATTCGTGTTATTATAATGATACTTGCTTTTAGGTAGATAAAAAAATGTTTTATTCCTTATGGTTCAACCACATTAAATATATTTAAAAAGTATAATGCTACTTGTTTGCAAATAAACTTAAAAAGGTTGGAATTCCTTATGGTACAACCATATTAAAATATTTAAAGGAAACAGTCTAGCTTAGGGAGAGATACTAAAACACTTTGCAGCACTAGACATAGAACTAAATGTTTACAAACATATTTTGATACATAGGTTCCAATCTCCAGATTTACATAAACTATATTGAAGTGATCTGGCCATTAATTCAAACAAACAAAGCTAAGACAAAAAAGTTCAAAGAAAATATGAAACTGAGCATCTGGATTATAGAATCCCAAGAGTTAAAGCACTGAATCTTGATATGCTGACACGCAATGAAAATGTGTCAGTCGTGATCTAAAATTGCTTTGACCCTTGTGTGTTCTGTAAAATGTGCAATCCACTATAATATAACTTTAGGCTCTAGGTAAAGATCTCTTTCATAGACTTGTATACAACATAATAGCACAGACAAATTGTTGCTTTGATATATAGTGCATTATATTATGCTCTCAGTTTCATAGACTGTAAAGAGAAGTTACCATAGTAAGTATGACTTGGTAGGTAGAGGTGTAATGCCTCGTTTTGCAGAGGATCCCCATCATAAAATGAAACACTGATTTTGTAAAAGATTAAATTATGTAACTTTTATCTTGTAATGAGGGCCACACTAATGTGCACTCATTTATGATAGCTCTATTTCTATTGGCTATATATCATCTTTTTAAAATACTGTACTATACAACATGAATATTACTGTGTAATTACGGTGCCTGAGACATGGCAATACCAAGCTTGTTAGAGGTTGCCGGGAGACAGATATGACTCTTTCTCAAGCCTCTTGTGTTGTATATCTTTTATAGTAACGCTCAGGGCAACTGAGCCATCACTTGCTAGAATGTAAGAACCCATGCTATATCAATATCTAAACATGCATTTATGTTATTTGGTGTGGTATAAAAAACAGAATGTACATGCATGAATGTTGTCAAACTGCATTCCTTTGACATCTGTGTGTACTTTCTTTATCAACTGCCAATCTGCAGCAGCTCAAAGATGCAGAGGGGCAAGTAATGGATGGATCACGTGATTTATCATCTGTTTCCTCTCATAATGCGTCATGTGATCTCTGAACATTTACTCCTAAAAAATGTGGCACAAGTGAAGCAAGGTTCATTCATCTAACTTGTTATAGATTATATTTGTCCTGTTACAATTCTCCATTGCCTCAGTTATGCTACCAGCCATATTTTACTATTATAAAAGCTGTATTCTTACTAGGGTAAATATTTTTAAATATATATTCAGTAGTCTATTTTTACATTAGTACATTATCCTTTTAGAAGTTTAGCTCTTCCTTGATGACATCAACTTCTGTGCTTAGAAAATTTGATAGTCCCACTTTAAAGGAGTTGTGATAGGCTGAATATGCCGTATGAACCTGGAATCTTATCTGACAGTGATTGTCAGTATAATGCCAGGAGTGAATGGGATGTATATGGAAGCCCTGCCAGAAACAAAAAATTGCGTTTTAACTAGCCTTACAACATATACTGTATTCTACTTAAGAAGGAGCTAGCCATAATTTTACAAGCTTGCACAAACAAATTCTTGAAACGTCACGCTTTATAGTAACAGTATAATTGAAAAAAAAACTATTTTGTTTTATAAAACATCAGTCCATAAAGTGTATGTAAACCCAAAGTCTGCTTTTCAATATGTAGGGAATCATGCCTCATTGTATAGGGTTTTGTTAAGCAAATCATTTTTGGTGAGACTGTTACCAAGTATCTTATCTGGTAAATGTAACAGCATTTCCTGTTGCAGGCTGACAGAGCTTAGATATTGCTTCACAATTAGTAGCACATTTGTAAGTCTGCCGTGTATGCCCCTTCAGTTGGATGATGGACTGCATATCATCACTGCGCAAGCCTCTGCAGACCTGAAAGGCAGTAAAATGACTAACTGAAGCAGTGTGTATGGCAGGCTGATAACATTGCTGCTGATTGTGAGGCAGATGCTGTCAGCCTGCAAAAGGATGTGCTGTAAGTGGTAGGATCTCCAGGTAAAAAACTTTGTAACTGATTCAACAAAAATTATTTTGTATACCGTAAGGCATGATGTCAGAAATACTGAAAAATAGATGTAGTGTTAGCCCTCATTCACACGAGTAACGGCCCGTACAGATCCGTGCTACGTGCATGGCCATATCCCGAGCCGGGACGGACAGGTGTGTTTTTCTCGATGGGAGTATGCGGCTGGACGCGGCCCTACGCTCACCAGAACTGTACGTCAGTACGGGTGCGGTTGTCCGTACTCGTACGCTGACAGGATGGATCCTGTCTGCGTCCGAGTAGGAAAACCCGCACCCATACGGATGTGCAGTTCGGGTGAGCGTAGGGCAGCATATGGTCACATACACCCATAGAGAAGGACAGGTTGCTGCGTACAAATCACACACAGCACCTGTCCTTCCCGGGAGCAGCCCGATACGGCCGTGCACGCAGCACGGATCTGTACGGGCCGACCATTACTTGTGTGAATGAGGGCTTAATATACATTGTAAGAACCAGTCAAGAGAGTGTGCATTGACACTTTCTCTGAGGGAATGATGTCATCAGTCTGCTGCATATAAGTTGAAAGCATTTCTTTAGTCTTTGGCAACTCCCAGGACAAGAAGCAGCAAGGGGAGAACATACCAGGACATATGTACACCAAGAACATGAAGGTAAAATATTTTAGGCTGGGAAAGTAGATGATGAACCTCTTTGGTGTTTGAACAAAGATAGAGCTGGCCTTCTGGGGTGCAAGATAAGTCATTGCCAGGTGGAGTTCTATGATTTGAAATACCTGTAAGTGTTATACTTACATGATATTTAGCGTACATACACTTATGTTAAAATAATATATGTGAGACT